TATATAGAGCATTAAGGCTTGGTAACTGCCCATGTAGTGCATGCAGTTGGAGGGGAAAAGGGAAGAATAAAATAGTTGAAAAAATGTTCCCACGTAGAAAACTGCCTTCTACAGCAAAATGGTGACCGCCATTAAGGCAATGGCAAACGTGATTACCTCCTTCAATAAAACGTGGCAGGCTAATTAGATGGTGAGCACCATGTGTGCATGGCGAACGCCATATCAGTAAGAGAGGCATATTTGCTTTCTTTTGTTGCACTTTTGCTATTCTTTCACTCCTTTCCCGATTTGCTTTCAATTTCGCGACAAATGAACTAGATAACTGCAAAATAAAAGGAAACAAAGTAAAAGGCAATAAAACATGATAAAATGCAGACAAATAATACGCGCAATGGGCCTAAAAATACAATATGAATTCTCGTTATCATCGACGCCCAGTGTAATGTTACCAATTGGAAAGAATCCACTCCAGAATGGTGTAATATATAGAGGAGGCACGACTGGCATGTGCTACAATTACCTGTTTAACACCACCCCCCCCCCCCCCTTGAACTATGAAATACGACACACAAACTAAAATTTGATTTGGTACAGATCAATTACTAACTTGAAATGTTTCTGTCTGACCCAAGGTATTTGATCGACCCACGCGCATGAGTTGCATAATCCTCAAATACCCAACATTACCAATAATCATACACCACCCAACAACAAACCCAAAATACATCAACCTTCCAACCAACACAACATTGTTACAGATCCATAAGCACACAACCTCAATCCACAAGACCAATACACGGACATGCCCCAAACGCAATCATAGTACCAAGAACAAAGACCATACATCTGACATCTCGATGTGGGCCCCTCATCATCTCACCTTAGTCCATACATGGGCCTACCTGAAGAATATTCCACAATCGACCCGACATACCATCAATCATCACATCACTATAGCATCCATCAAACATATGGATACCAAATTCCACAAGATTCATTTCATTTTTACCCCACTTATTCAGACGAACAGTGTTATCGATCACCCATGGAACCCCACCAATACAACCAAACTTTAAGAGCATGGGTAACTGAATGTTTCAAAGCGAGTCTTTTGGATATGGTGATCTGACGGATTTCATGGGCCCTGAACGCATTGACTTCGCAGGACCCTCGATCCAACCACAACAGGAGAATCGTTAGAGTCACACAACGAGTTAGGCGAGGACGCAGGTGCGAAACTACTGGTCGTTATCGACTCCTAAGAAACAACTAAATAATATGTAATTTTTATTCTCATTATGTAATCGTTTCATTATTATTAAAAATCAAAAAAAAAAATCTTCGAAAATTGTTAATTATTAATTATAAAAAAATAAAAACTAAATAAAATAATAGGCTTAATTAGTGTCATGATCCCTTAATTTAATTTAAGGTTTCATTTTAGTCTTTTATTTAATAAACGTTATATTTTAATCCCTTAAGAACTATTTCGTTAATTCATTAAACTATTTTGTTAACTTTTAACCTTAAAATAT